TTCGCCACTACTAAAAAACGTGACATCTAAACTCCTTTTATTTTTTGCATCACACAATCGTAAACTTAAAAAGTGTGCCGGTTCGGTAAACGCGAAGAGACCTAATTTCCGAGGGTGAAACCTCTAAAAACAACGGTCAAGTAAAAGAAACAAACAACACAGGGCGTTGTTTGTCCTTTGTTTTTAGCGCTTTTACCCTCGGAAATATGATGAAGAGACCGCGCGTCTCTACGCACAGGCATTAGCATATGCAAAAAATCATGCTGAATGCTCGCTCTTGTAACGTTTTTCTCGCTCCCGCTTTATGAAACAAATCGGTGGCGAGCGGCTGTTAGGACAAGACGTCAGAACTAGCATGACCTGTGATTAACACTTTGGGACGGCGACTGAATGCTTGAACTGCCGTCAGACAGCACCTGAACGCTCCGAACAAGCGTCGTCGGTCGAGCGCCACACGACGGCGCCCAGAACATGCCCACGGTTCCGCCGCGCGGGAAACTTTCTCACACTGCGGAGCGAGCCACAGATAATAGGGAGTTTTCGTAGACCGCGTTGCCCCCTCCGCTAAGCGTTACGCAGCGAAGAAGTTGCTACTGCGCCTGCGCGCCGATAGCCTTGACTGTGGAGTTCCCGCTATCGTAGCGGGTTGCGGAGGGCCTTGCGGGACGGCGAAAACGATCTACGAAAACTCCCTATTGAAGAAGATACGCTCTTTTCAAATAACGAAATAACACAGGGCAGAAGCATAGATCTGGGGGATCGGTGGCCGAGTGGTCTAGCGCACACCAGCTCGGAGCACGTGGAGCGTAAGCTCGCGCTGCAGAACCCAGGGATCCTGGGTTCGAGCCCCACCCCTGCCCGTTTCGATCTGGATGAGCATCATACCGGCGTGCGGTCGTGTATTACTACTGCGTGATGCACGTTAAAGACCCCAGGCTAGCGGCTGTACCGCACTGGCTAAATTTCTCATCTACAGCTGGGAGACTCGTCGCCCCTGTGAGGCAGACCAAGTTCTAGGCTGTATAAACACACACACAACACAACCCAATTTTTTAGAATCAAGCATAGCTTAGCAAGCGCACGGTACACGACAAAGTTTGAAACAGCAGCCCACTTCGCAGAAACAAAAGAAAGTTGCTAACCGGCGTTTGCACGAGTCGTGCATGGGCGGTTCTGAACTTACGGGCGTTGGAAAGAGGCAGCGTCTCTCAGCTCTCAGTCACCGATTGTTATTCTTGAACACGGTATTCGTAAGGAAGATATTTAAAATATCCACTAAAATGGCTGAAACGTAAAAAAAAAGGAAATTTCCGAAGCTTCTGGAACTTCAACAATCATTCAACCGAGCCCAACGGAAGCTGATTGCGATAGCGATGGTCTTGCGCAGCCTTTAAGAGTCTCTTTTCCTTTTTATGTATTGTTAATTTTTTTAGAGCGATACTAAGCAAAATATTATTATATTAGTAACAATCAGAATGTCACTAAAAATAATGTAAACTATTGCAAAAAGTGAGTAAATCTTAGGTTTTATTCAAACTTCACGTTGTTTCTTTTTTGTGTAAACCGAAACCGAAACTAACTTAAGCAACGTTTCTTTCGTCGTAATTGTTTGCGTGTGTGTGTGTGCATGCCCGTGCGTGTGTTGGTGCATGCGCGTGTGGATACGTCCCCGTGCATGCGCGTGTGCGTTTCTGGTTGTGCGTGCGTGTGCCTCTGCACGCGGGCGTGGGATTACGCGTGTGCATGCGTGTGTACGTGCGTGTGCGCGTGTATGTGTGCGACTGTGAGCGCGCAAGCGTCTGTTTGTGCGTTCTATTGCACTGCGCCCGCAAGAAGAACAATTGGATGTCCCTGGACACTGTTAAAACACTATTATTGATTTTTATTATTATTATTATTGTTGTTGTTATTGAAACATAGCCCTGAGACTTTAGACGCAGGGCCCTAAACTTTTCTATAGCTGGCTGTAGCTGTATCTATAAATTTTTAAGGCCGACCATGCAAAGCTACAGGGGGTGATAGCCTCCCATTGAATTTCCCATAGACGACCATGGGCCATTTTTTATGGGATGTCTGGTTTATTATGGGATTTGCCTCTTTATGTGTGCGAGTTTTTGTGCATGTCACCATATTCTGGCTAACCCATAACAAATGGCTAACCCATAACAAATTAGTTCCCAATATAGCGAAAGCAAACTACATAATTTTTGCCCCGAAAAACAAACTAATTTTAAACACACCTCAGCTTTCGTTTGCAAGTATTAACCTAACTCGAGTGTACCATACTAAATTTTTAGGACTAACACTTGACCATCAGTTAACATGGCACCAACACGTAAAAGACACAACTAATAAGATATATCGAAATATACCAATTCTATATAAACTACGGCACATATTTTCCTTACGAACCCTCCAAATGCTTTATCATAGCTTCATTCATACTCACATTTCGTACGGGTTATCCATTTATGGATTGACATATAAAACAACACTAAAACCCATAGAAATCGCCCAGAATACGGCACTACGAGCAATGCTGTTTGTGAATAGGCGCGAAAGTTCTCAATTCGCATACCGCTTCCTCAACATTTTAACAGTTCATCAATGCCTCGATTATCGTGTAGCATTATTAACATTTAAGTTCATCACCAATCAGATAACATGCTCTTCAATTAGTTTTACTCATCAAAATGTCATGTATCCTCTGCGTTCACATTCACAAGCGTCACTGTCTGTACCATGCATACGAACTAATTATGGTGCGTTCACCTTCATTTACATTGCTACTAAAACGTGGAACTCTCTACCACCCTGCCTAACTGCCATATCATCATTCTATATCTTTAAACAAGCCATACGTGCACACATACTCTCTGCATGATTCATCAACCATTTCTTAGGTTGATGGGTTAGCCATAAGTGATTCGTAAGAAAATTAAATATAAACTCATATATAAAATTTTGTTTGCAAACATAAAAATTGTATGCAAAAGAGGCACTTTATTATCAGCTATTTGCATGAATTACAACTGACATTATAAGAAACTAGACTGCTAACAACTGTTGCTTTTCAAGCAGAAATCTTACCTGCACATTATGTACAGAGCCATGTATAAGCTTTTCAAAACCATTTCACATTTATTCAGCACCCTCCTCTACACCCTTCTCACATTCTTCACTAAATGTAGGGTGTAACACGAAACAGCAAATTTCGGTAAAATATGAGGTTGTATTCCTAGTTTTTAGGGTGTTAAATGGGTGTAGCCGAGGGTGTAAGTTGCTACAACACCCCTGTTACACCCTTAAAGGTGTAAGAACTTTTACTGTGTAGTACGGCCGAGCATCACTGGCGTGAATCACCACGATAGCGTCGATAGCGTCACGGCGTTGCCCACCACCCGCCAACAACCACGTTGTTAACAACAAAACCAGCGTCCTGCACATCTAGGTTGAGAAGTTCATTTTCTTATTTTTTTTACGTGTGGTTCAATTTTGAACGTTTCCATTGCGGTTTAACCGAAGCTGTTAGCTTTCCTTGGATCAGGAAATCAGTATCCTAGCACCTAATTAAAACATTACTGAGACTAGCTTAAGTTTAATCAATATATGAGAGACGTCTTGTTTAGGCTCTTCCAAAACACAAAGCCTCAAATATCCAATCTTATCCGATTCAAGCACAAGCTGATCGGGGTGCGTGGCTAGCGTGGCGGTTTACTAAGCTGAGTGCATTGATACACCTATAGGTTTTTAAGGTAGAGAAGGGGGCTTATGGTCGGTATACAGGTACACTGGCTGGGTAACGGAGGGTGCGTCTTCCAGGAAAGGGGAGCATGTGCGCCCGACGCACCCGACTACAACTTTTTTTTTTCTTCGAGTGCAGTTGGGAAGTATATATGTGGAGCGCTAACCGAAAAATCGCGGATGTGGTATTCGCGCTAAGAGTGCCGCGCAGCGACAGAGCGGTATTGTTAGCGCGAAGATGACGTCGGCGCTGCTTTCGTATTTTATTTTCATAGAACAACGACGGGCACAATATTTTCCCACTTCTAGTAATGTTCCAAATGAACATATCGCACAACAGTGCTAGTTAAGACAATAGCCTTTCAAGTCTAACGAGAAAAAAACTGAACGGTGATCGTTTGCTTGCGCTAACAGTGTTCGCGCGATGCACGCACTAATATCCTGCCAACCACTCGCTCATGATGCTTCTCTCGCTGCCCGTCGTTATGCCAAAGTATCGTCAACGCGTTGAAAGTTTAGATTATGGGTGTCCCTGCGGTGAAACTGAAAATCAGCACTTTTAGCCGAACACTTGTCGACCATGTTTATGTCCACTGCGGCCAGGCTGAGAATCAGCACTTCTGGCCAAACACTCGCCGGCCATGTTTATGTTTCCGGCGGCCAAGCTGAAAATCAGCACTGCTGGCCAAACACTTGCCGGCCGTGTTTATGTCTCCGGCGGCCAAGCTGAAAATCAGCACTGCTGGCCAAACACTTGCCGGGCGTGTTTATGTCCCCGGCGGCCAAGCTGAAAATCAGCACTTCTGGCCAAACACTTGCCGGCCGTGTTTATGTCCCCGGCGGCCAAGCTGAAAATCACCACTGCTGGCCAAACACTTGCCGGCCGTGTTTATGTCTCCGGCGGCCAAGCTGAAAATGAGCACTTTTGGCCAGGCGCTTGCCGGCAGTGTTTATGTCTCCGGCGGACAGGCTGAAAACAACTAGTTTGTGGCCGAACCCTTGCCGGCCTTGTTTATGCCTCCGGTGGCCAAGCCCTTAAAGTGGCCAAGCTGTCCAGACACTGGCCAACCGTCGGCCGATCGAAATTCACTTTCTGGTGCTGCTTGGGATGCTAGTGTGTTCTCTCGTCGTAAGTGATCGCGTGTGCTCGGTTCGAAGCAAACAAAAGCAAACTCAAGTGAGTGAACGGGCCTCAAGATGTCTCAGTAAGACGTGAACCCGAAAGGAAGGAAAGCTTATCTCTCAGCCCAACGTACCCGCTCCACATCTGTCTCGACCGACGGTCTCGCGGTGCGGCGCCCGTGTGGCCGCGACTTCGCCTTGGGATGCCACTCCTCTTCGTTCTTCTCGTCGTCGTCGTCCTCCTCCTCCTCTTCCCCCTCCCCTTCCTCTTCCTCTCCATCCTCTTCGTCGTCCTCGCTGGTGGACGCGCGGGCTCGCCGTCGCTGCCCCTGCCGTCTCCATCGTGGGTGGCGCACCGGATCCGCGACTTCGACCACCGACGATGTGTTTGGCAGCAACGGCATATATACGTAGGGAAAAGGGGGCGTGGCTATCACCGCCTGGCACGGCACGGGGCCCCTGCGTTCCGCTCGGTCCCCGCACCACTCCTCCAGGTCGCTGCCCTCGTCCTCCTCGCAGGGAGTCCGCACCGTGCCCCAGTACGCGTGGTCCATTCGCACCACTGCCGCGCCTGGATGCTCCTCCCACTGCTGCTCCGGCATTACGTCTCCGTTGCACGCCGAAGACGACTCCGAGCTGGAAGACGGCTTTGGCTTTGGCTTGCCCGGCTTTGCGGCCATCTTCCCGTCCGACTTGCTGAGGATCTTCACCTGGAGCTTGGTGTGGGGCTTGGGGAGCGGCTTGTCGTTCGGCTTTGCCGGCTTCGAGTGCAGTTTGGAGTGGGGCGTGGTGTGCAGCTTGGCCTGCAGGTTCACTTATGGCTAGGAGTGAGGCTTGAACTTGGGCTTGACCTGGCCAGGGGTGGCCGTGGGCTGCGGGTGCGGCGACTGGTGGGGTCGACGCCGGTCGCCCTTGGCGCTCGCCAGCTGGGAAGGTCCTTTCTTCACTTGGCTGCGCTTGCGACGGCGAGTGCCGGTGTTGGTCCCTGGAATGGCACGTGACTCGGACAATGAGGCCCCATAAGCTGTACACGAAAGGGTTCTGTTACTCTGCCGTGAACACGGTCGGAGAGTAATAACTTTTTCCACACCAGTCGGCTTTTCAATCATACGTACAAGGACTGTCCCATCGCGCTAATTTCTCATTCTGTGTAATAAATATGACAGAACTCCAATAGTCCCTACAGTTAATTAAATTCAGCGTGAAACCAGTTAACAATCTTAGCGTTAGGGCACAAATATAACGAAATGGGAAATATGCTGCAAAATGTCCATGGCACATTTGGCAGTTTTTTTTTTCCAGTTCTGTGTTTTCGACAATTTTTTAGTTTCTTCAGCAATAGGTATTCATTGGAAATACTGCATTCCCTTAACCATAAAAAAGTTCACCAATAGACGATAAGCGAAACTGCTTGGTTGTCTGGCAGCACTGCGCACACGGTCATCTTGGTAGCGTCAAGTACCTCGAGTTTCAGTTTCTCAGCATTTCCAGGGCATGGACGCTCTGCCGCTAACTGTGATTCGGAAACTTCACTGTTTTCTGGCTTCCGATCACCTAACTCAAAGTGTCTGAGGACACTTTTAGTTGAACTAAAAGTGCCTGAGGACACTCTTAGTTCTTTTTTCGATGCAAATACACATGAAGTCGTACCGTCTAGCGGTAGGCTGCTATATGCCAATATATGCGACTTGAGGTTAGATGTTTTGTTCATTTTTACTGTTACTGGGCGAAGAATTTTTTTAGTGGAAAGTTCTGTGTTCTTCTAAAGGAACCTGTGCCATGGGCAATATTTTAGGCACTCCAAGGGAGCTCACATTGGTTTTAGGTAGCATTGACCTCAAGCACAGTTGACGAATGTTGCCCTATTGACGAAGATTTGCTGTACCCTGGCAAAATAACTGCATTGACTTTCTCACAACTACCCCACAAGGTTCTTTGCACCAAACAAAATTTTTACCTCGGCTGCGGCAAAAAGAAAGAAAAGGTGATTGCGAAATGAAGTTGGCACCGCCCGTGTTGTTAATTCTACATCCGCAACAAAAGCTTCCGCCGCCGCCGGCATAGAAGTTTTAGCCACTGCGATGAACCTAAGTCGAGCGCCACGTTCAACAAAAAAAGACAGCAAAATCTTGTCTCTGTGAGTGTTGAGCAAACAGACGTGTTGTCTGTGTCTGTTGTGTTTTCTATTCTACATGAGCACGCCTCAAATATTCAAGAATAATATATCAACATATTCTTCTGTTTAGTTTTAGAGGTGTTTTACACAAACCTTGTTTATCGACACCAGATCAAGTGTATAGAAATCGCTGCAAAGCAATGAGATTATTTTCCTCCTTTCCAAAGTAATTAATTTTGTTTAAAGGAGCAGTCCCACAATTCCAGGGCTTTGCTTAAATTATTGCGGAAGTTGATGCCTGACACTTCTGAAGTGAAGTACAGAATACAGATTTTGCCTGGATACCCTAGTTTTTATTTCAAAAAAATGAAAAAGATCTAGGTTTTTGCCGCCTCTCAATTCGTACGTCGTCTTCCGGGTCGCGTGCACAGAGACGTTGGTGGGGTAAGCGCGGGGTTCCGGTAAAGTTCTCTCTTTAGAGCCATCCGTGAGCAGCGAGAACTCATCCGCTCGTGACCGCGTGACCACGTGGTGGCGGGTGCCGCGCGAACAATATGGTGAAAGAAGGAAAGTCTTATCCAGGTCCGGCCATACCCGTACGGCCCTGTCCCCCTCCCCCTTTCGCTTTTGGCAGCTGTTCGCGGTAGCAGAGAGAGCTGATGGTTTTGTAGACCTAGGATAGATGGCGCCACTAAAACTCCGTATAAAAGTTTTGTTGATGATACCAGGTTTTTGACGCATTTATATATATGTTGCAACGAAAAGATTTATAAAAAAGTTACCTTTAATCGAGCAGGTATTCTTACAACTTGCTATCTTTCTACAAGATCCCCCATTGACGTCACGCCGCCTGTTTCTTAAGGCCACCGCTCGCGGCTGCAGGTCGGGGAATATTCTAAGTTTTGCCTCGCCCTTACGCGGCGGAATCGCAATATTTTTATTCACAAAGTTAAAGTTCAGTTGCCATTAGGCATTAAATGTTTATACATTTTGAGGTACACGTTTTCCAAATATGGAACTGAAACATACTCTAATTATAATTTTCATGCCGACCTAGCTTCATAAAATACCCTCGGTTCCAACCAACATTGTACTAAGCAGATGTGAGCTGCTTTTATCTCTTTCGTATGGTCGTCAATTTATCTGCTGGCATATGCCTTGTCTTACGAGTGCTTCAGAAGGCACATTTCCTGAATTTGGCTTGTGTGCCATCTTGTGCAGGCATATTTAAAATCTGTGTAGTCTAAATAATTGTATAAATGTTATAAGAGCGTATTGCAACATTAGAATAAATTGTATTACTTGGCTGCTTGTTGCAGGCTAATCATAACAATAAAATAGAGCTTCCAAACATCTGTGATGTTTTCCTGCATCTTCATAGACACGCAATAGTTTTGTAAGTGCCAATTTTCCAGGCAGACTTCTTAGAGTGTAACACTATAGAACATGGCTTACCACGGCAAGCTTTGTCCAAACTAAGTCGGTGATAAAGGAAGTGGCATGCCAACACTCATTTAGTATGGAAGGGGCATGTATCGACCCTTTTGAGTACTAGGCAGAGACAGTAACTGCAGCTACGACCTCCATCTTTCTTTCAGAAAGTTGCCAGTTGCCGACGTAGAAGAAAGTCGCCATAAAATTACGATGAACTAGAAAGCGGACAATACGCTTCTTTCAATAACATATTAGTAAGTCCTGTCACTCACACCCTGGTGAAATCCAATAGGTCACGTAAGGATGCATTAAGATAGGTTGTTGTGCGAACTTTTTTGCAAATCTGACCAATCCGACCATGTTCAGAGTCGCAAGTGCTCATTCAGGAACCCTGATCCGCAATGAGCACTGCAGTTTAAATTGAACATTATTTTCCGCAGACAAAAGTACCATTCCACCCTAGGGTTTTTGGTTGGAGCTGATAGCATGATACACTTTCTTTTGGCGGAATCGTTGTGTAGTCTGGTAAAAGGAACGACGACCTCAGGAAAACAAGGCATGCTGAATATAATGAGTTAGCCAGGCAGCAGCTCCTCACTGACAAAGCCCCCATCAAGGCTGACGGTTTGGATATGTTTTATCCTTGCCAAAGTGGTGTGGTTTGTCCAAATACCAATGTCGCGCGACTTGCGCCGACACGTTGTGATCTGGTACTTATCCTGATAAGAATGTGCATAATGTGCATATCTGCATGAACCAGTACACTGAGAAACTTATTTTCATGCGGGTGATAAACCAGTCTTCTTAAAGGGATACTGTCCTGAAGGGCCGACGCATATTGTCCTGAAGGGCCGACGAGCACGAAGCACCTGCTGGTAGGAAGACCCTCTGCCAGTGAACTTCTTTTCATAACTTGTCGCACTATTTTCTTCTTATATGAAAGGAGGAAGTCTGGAAGCTGACCTCCGCCAAAAGGAGGAGGGCTCTCCTCCTCTTTTGGATGAAAAGGAGAAATTGCGGGGCGTTTTCCTCCTCTCTACCTGTTGGTCGGCCTAGTCCCTTCTTTGTTAAACCTTCTACACGACCCCGTCAGAGGATGTTGCAAAAAGGTTTAGAGCTTGCGCGAGGAATTAGAAACAATGAAAAGCGGCCACCAATGGGAAGCACGAGGAGAAGGTGATAGCACTGGACAGAAGTTTGCAACTAGACGGCACGGCTAAGTGGCGTTGATGGCCATTACCATCATGCCTCGCGCGCCCCCTCCAGATAAGCAGTGAGCGTGAATATTTCAACATGCAGTCAATTTTGATATCTCTGCATTTGCAAAATATTAAATAAATGGAGATGTTAGCCACCCGAAGGCATGACCGGCTACTCCATTACCATTGCAAAAATGTTCCAAAAGCGGGGCGAATTCATGATCGAAAAGGTTTACTCCGACTTAACATAACAAAATTAATAACAAAAGGTACAGACGTTTCGCCACCTATGCAGGTGGCATCTTCAGTATACACTGACACAAATGAGGTGAGGTCGGCCAGTCTACTTATCACACAGGTCCCCGTAAACGTCCGGCAGGGGGCCACGGTTGGCGTTGCACACCGATGAGTCACGGCGAATGAACCAGGACTCGACGAATTTTCTTTGCCCCCACCTTTGTTCTCGGGCCAGCGTCGTCGGATTGTCCAGGTCGAAACTGTGTCCTGTCGTCCAGCAGTGTTCGACAAGTTCCGACTTGGACCGCGAGGCATGGGTGGCCTTGGCAACGTCCCTTTTGTGTTCTTTCAATCTCGTTGCCCTCTTTCTGCCCGTTTCGCCGATGTAGGTCGCGTCACAATCCCCGTACTGCACTTTGTATGCGGCCCCCTCTGACCGTCTGCAGAGGTGCGGTCCTTCGGTTTCGGGAACACATTCGCTAAGGCAAAATGTGGTTTAAAAACAGTTTGTACGCCCAGCGGGCGCAAAGCTCTCCGAACAGCATCTGACACGCCCTGGACATAGGGAATAGATACAATAGACGTTGCCCGCACTCGTGACTCACTCCCCCTTCCCCTCTGCATTCGCCTCTGCGTATCGTTAATAAACGTCCTCGGATAATGGCGCCGCTGTACTCCACCAACGACATTTTCTACCTCTTGCAACCGTAGCTGCTTGTTAGAGCACACTGCATCACAACGTGATAAAAAGGTTCTTACAACGGACCGTTTGTGTTCGGTCGGGTGATGCGAGTCAAAGGACAAAACATTTCCTGTGTCACACTGCTTACGGTACACCGTCGTTTCCACACTGCCATTACTGGCCCGGCGTACCAACACATCCAAAAAAGGCAACACATTATCTGTCTCTGTTTCCTACTTGAACTGAATGGCGTGATGTACGCTGTTCAGCGCCACGTGGAAAGCATCTAGGTTAATTCTTTTCAAAATTACAAAAGT